AGGGCGCACATCCTATAAGTAAAAAACCCCCCAAAAAAAAAAAAAAAAAAAAAATCACAGGTTTATCGGGGACCAGCAGGTGGCATGGTGGTTGGGGCGCTGGACATTCCCACATGGCCGACCATGATTCGAGTCCCGGTCCTGATGTCTTCCTTTCTCACTTTCCCTCTCTCTCCCTGTGTATCTCCCTGGTCAAAGTAAAATAAATGAAGGAATAAATAAAATTAAAATAAGTAATTAAAAAAATAACAGGTTTATCATAAAGTGTTTTGTTTTGATGTAAGCTGTGTGTGCTCACCAGAGACAGACACACACACAGAGTGAGAGCGAGAGCAAGAGAAAAAGAATGAGAAATCATGCCCAGCAGGGACACCCACTTCATAATCCTTTCTCCTCTCAGGATTTTGGGCACACACACATGTATGTCTGGCATGCTTTTCAAATCCTTGGATCCAGGACTTGAACCGTGGGGTTGCCATGTGGGATCCTGTCACCTTAACCACCATGTCATCAGCTGACCCAAGGATTATTGTAAAGTGAAACTGAGATGACTCTTGGAAGGACTGAGCCCAAAGCTGCCATTTTGGAAGTGCTGTCTGGGACACCTGTTATTACTTCTAACGGGCAAAGGGTTAAGAGTCCAGCAGCCTGAGCTCCATGCCTACACAAGACATCATCCTGAGCAAATGAGAAACCTCACCTCAGAGCCCTGAGAAGTCCTAATTTGCTAGCCAGGACCTCTGGAGATGACACAAGACACACTCTTTGGTAAGACACAGGCCCTAATTTCAAGAAGACAAGAAGGCAGGAAGAAAGCTAGAAAATGAAAGCGGGATCATTCCTATGTGGCTAGATAGAAAAACTGACCAGGGCTGCCGAAAATTTCCCGCCTGAAGTAATGTAGGCAGGAGATTTCCAGTGCGGGCTTTCTTGCCGATTAAGCCACATTTGATATGGCCAGTGGGATGTAAGCAATCAGGGGGCCCAATGATCAACTGATCATTAACCCCAGTTAAGGAATTATAAACTCCATGGAAAGTATTGGGTTGTCGTAAAAGTCATGACACATTTTTGCATAGAAAAACAAAAATATTTCATGAGTTTTCCAGCAACCCAGTAACTACTAGGGCCCTTGAGCTACCCTTTCTCACTCAGGCCCGCTCCTACCTCTGAGGAGTGTACTTTAGCTTTCACTCCAGAAACTACCCTTTGCTTTTGCCATTGGCATGTTTCATTCAGTCCTCTGTCCAGAACACCAAAAACTTGGACAACGGGGAAGCCATCCTGCAGCAATGGGTGGGGATGAGACTGAGCCTGTAAATCAGGAAGGGCCTGGGGGGTATTCGGAAGTCCTCTGTTACACACTTACAGAAGTTGAGTACAGAAGGTACTTTCAAGTGACAATTGCTGGAGATCTGTTTCTCTCACCAGCCTGTGAGCTCACAAGGCCTCGGTCAGTGTATTTTTCAATCACTCATTCACAAATACGATTTAAGTATCCCCCTTCCTCCAGGATGAGCTCAGGAATACAGCAGTTAATCAGAAAAGACACGGAGCCGGATAAGAAAACAAGGGACATAATGGTTTTCGGTGCCATGTAGGAACCACCACAGGGGAATATATTTTCTTTAGTAGTTGTAGCAAGGTATATGCCCACTAGCAAACTAGTGACAGGAGAGGAAGTCATGGGGAAAGACATGCATAAGATTAAGTGGCCACTAAGGACCTTTAAAGCTCAGGAAGGATGAGCAGACTATGGGAGGGGACAAGCTCCCAGGCCCTGAGCCGAGAAAGGACAGAAGGTGGACAAGGGGCTGTGAGGGGGAGGGGGGGTCAGGGCCAATTCACGTGGATCCTTGCAGGCAGGACAGGGAGTGTGGATTTGAGGGAAACAATTAGAGGATTTTAAGTTAGAGCTGGTTGCCCTGGAATTCCAGGGTCAGCAAGGCCTTGCGGGGGAGGGGCACATATGAAAGAAGCACATGGAAGGTGCTCTCAATTCGGTGAATGAATGAATGAACGAACGAATGCACTGATAGACAGAAATGCCGCCAGCAATAATAATAATAGGTGGCCCATTGGTGGGGGGGAATCCCCAGACCTGGCTCCCGGAAGAATTGGTCTCGGCCCAGGAACAAGGCGCTGTGACCTTGGGGACATCCCCGCCCCCGGACTTAGGGCCCGGAACCCAGCGTCTCGGGGGCGGAGAGGACGTGCCAGGAGCTACGATGCGCGCGTTCGGCAATCCCCGGGACGGCGCCGCTTTGGGACGGGCCCTCTCGTGCATCAGCCCAGTAAAGCCCAGCTAGAGCCCGAACCCTTGCTGCCTGCTGTGTTTACATTTCACCCGTGCCGGCCACGCGGCTTTTTGCCGCTCCAGCGCCACCCGGCTCCGCCCCCGGGGTCCGCAGCCCCACCCCTCGCGGCGCTCGCGCCAGACTTCTCCCGCGTCCCGCCCGGACGCTGCCCCACCCCTCACCGCGCGCGCCGGCCGGCTCTCCCGCGGCCCGCTCCGCGCCGGCC